TGCTCCAATAACACTTTCCCATTCAGATATCTCTCAGCAGCAATCCTCTAATGTGACCTGCGGGGCCGAAACTGCAGTCAAATTGGCCGTGAGCCAAACCGACAGCAGCTTTCTGACAAAGGCGGCTTTGATTATGCATATTTTATTTTGGGCTTCCACACATTTCGTCCCTCACTGTTTGGAACCCGGAAAAACAGAAAAACATCCAAAACACAGCTGAGTCCGTGACGTCCTTTCTGCACTTTTAGTGAAAGTTGAAATGGACAACAATGAATGTCCATGTAAACGAATTTGATCGTTAAATCCCTAAGTTTAGTCTGTCCTCATATTAATTCTAAACAGCATTTATGACATAATTTTAGCATAGCTAAAAGCCTAATTTTGTCAATTGTGTAAAGGTTTAAGGAATTTAATTTAGAGAATAAAGTGTTCCTGAGTTTATATGAAGGGGGGCAATGAAGGAACTCCAACAATAATCAGAATACATGTTTTTCTTTGTGTGATAAAGGATATTTAAGCCTGATTGTGGTGTAAAAACTTGACAAATTCTTACACATTGTGAGTGATGAGTAACGATTCACTATTTGCTGACATTAATAAGATGAATATGTCACTGAATTCTGGGATATAATGAGTGTTTGAGAACAGGAAGTCCTTCTGACCATTTGACCTTCTCATAGCTCTGAGCTCACAGCTACAAACTGTCCTCATGGCCAAAGGACAAGGCCTAGAGCATCCTGTGGAATTTCCCACAATACATGTGGGTTGTGTTAGGTCGCCACAGGCCACCCAAAACTCTAAACAGCATTTATTTACATCTTTATTTTCCCCCGGACAGATTTGTTTGAAGGATGTTTTTTTTTTTTTTGTTTGTTTTTAAGGTGAGTAATGGGAAATGTGAGACACCGAAAGTAAAACTGGCACTAAATTTAACCACTTTATTTAACAGAGTGTCTAAAACTGGTGTAAGGCAACGGAAGAAAGATCCGTCTCTGTGGTGAACAAAACTCCCCTGCACAGCCGATACTAGCGGCCAACTAAGGTGAAAATCGAATGAACCACCGCACACAGAGATGACTTCACTGTGACTTTTATTGAGAACGAACAACGAGTTTTACCTGTGGCTTCTTCAGTTTCACTCATTATCACCACGTGACCCAGAAGAGGCCGATTCACCTCTCCCTGATGCATGTCCACACTGACAGTTTGAGGTTCCAGCACCCCTGAGTAAAAGGCCACATTTAGATTATTATAACTACTGCAGCATCTGACCTGCAGCTCAAGATATTAGGTTTATTATGAGCTGTCACCGAGCAGTTTAATATTCAGTTGTCAATACCTTTTAACATCAAACTTATTGGAGATTTAAAACATTATTGAGAGCTATTATTGTGCAATAGCATTTGTATTACTGAGTCTCTGTGTTAAATAGACCTGGCTACTATTGTTGTTGCTGCTGTGTTGTAGTACTAGTATTATTCTATGCATTTTTACAAAATAAGTACCGACACGTACACGCAAACATGCTAATCCCACTACAGCACCCCCAGCTTAAAACGTTTCCTGTCTTTCTTTCAGTCTCTGGAATGAAGGCATAAAAACCCAGAAAAAAATAACAAATGCATCTGCTAGCAAAACTGGTTCTCAAGATTCAGTCAAACTCTGGTGTGGGAAACTCCCTCAGTCCTATCTGTTTGCATAAATATGTTGTTTATATCCTTCTTCAAACGTTAAATCAGAATCATCATCATTATTATTATTATTTTCTTACTCATTAAGGATAATTTAAATTTTTGTTTGACTGTAACCGTCTTACTCAAACCCCTTTGGCCACACCCCCCAAACCACCTCCTGGCATTGTTAATAAATGTATATAAATAATAAACCTTTGTCCTTGGCATTAACAAGACTGCACGTTTAGTTTAGACAAAAAAATATTCCATAGTGCAAAGTCTTCAAAGACACCTCAGGGAAGGCAAATGTTATCAGCTGTCAAATGTGTAACGACATGTTCATCCTAAAAGGAACTTGGCTGAATATTCCTCTTGAACAAAGACTACAGTCCCTCCTGCCAAATTAGCATTTTTCAATTTTATATTTCAGGTCTATCAACTTTTTTTTTATTTTCCTGTAACTGGCTCAGCAGGGAAACTCCAAGAGATTAAATGCAGGAGGAAATCTGGGCAAACATCCAGAGGGGACGATTACAAGAAACCGAAAGTTTCTCTGCAGATGCTCCATTGGCACTTACAATGTGTGACCGACCACACAGTTAAACATTTGCTCCAAATGATCAATAAAGTGGTTAGAGAGGTAAATCTGATAGCGTAATAATCACATATTGGTTGATTTTATGTCAATATAAATACACCGTTGCTCAGCCTGGTGTCTACTTCCTTAATACAGTCAGTGGGGAAGAGAAAGTTGATCTTGACACTATTTAAATGCGGTGGTACCAGTTTCACTGCAATCACTGTTTTTCCAGCGAAGTGTCAATCATCGTTCACGTGGGAATAAATCCACAAAGGAAGTGTGTAACAATGAAAATGTTTGATATGACTTTGTTTTGACTCAACACACTGTTCAAATAAAAAGTACAAAGGAGCCAGAGGGTACAGATTTACAATAACATCACAGCAGAATCTCATCATGTGTCATCTCAGGTGTTACAGTCAAGTTCTCTGCAGTGTGCAGTGTCTTACCTTTATTTTCTCATCTTGAATTTGTAAAGTAAGATATTTAAAGCACATGACAGAATATTCTTACCACACTCTTTGCCTAAACTTAAAGGAGCTATTTGTAAGTATCGCCAACGTTAGCATCAACAGCTGTTTAGTCACCAGTCTAGAAGAAACGTTGCGAGTTCAGCATCAAACTTCACTCCTTTACTCACCAGGAGCTGTTTGCCGCGGTGGAAAGCAACGCCGATGTTGATGTTTGTTTATGTCATGTCTTTTGCTCTACTCACGTTAGCATGCTAACCAGCTAGCCCCAGCCTATTCCAGCAGAGAAGAGATATAATTCTTGTCGCTTTCTGCTGGCAACCTCCAACCTTCCCTGAAGACGCGGCGCTGCTCAGAAGGCGTATTATAACTTCTTGTTTAATAAAGATGACGATGGCTGAAGCTCTTGTCAAACGACGATCATCACCACCTGTTATTTAATGATGACAAAGTTTATTAAAGTTTAAATGCTGATCCAGGTTATCTGAGGGTTCAACCCCGGTCACATCCCAGTGAAGGAGAAGACCTGCTGTCGGGATATTGAACTGTTGGCAGTCGGTCTTAGACCGTGCTATGTACCCGGGGAGTTCTGTCACATTGCTGTTTACATTCAACCACGAGCGGAGGCTGGAGTCGCGTGTGACGTCATTCAGGAGACTGTTGCGAGAGTACAGACCCAGCACAATGATGCATTCATTGCAGTATCATGGGATTTTAACCATGTCACTCTCACCTCTCACCTGACTGGCTTCACTCAGTGTGTTGACTGTCCCACAAGGGAAAATAAGACACTGGCTCTATTGTACGCAAATGTCAAGGAGGCCTACATTGTTTCAGCTCTACGACCACTTGGCAGATCAGATTATAATTTGGTTTTTTCTTCAGCCTTCCTACAAACCCTGTGCACTGAGGCAGGCTGCAACTCGCTCATTCAGGAACTGGACCCCGGAGGCCAGTGAGTCTCTAAAAGACTGTTTTGAGTGCACAGACTGGAATGTCTGTTGGAGTCACAGGAAAATGATAAAAGCAAGAACCCTGACCTTGATAGAACGGTTGAATTTACCACGGACTACATTAACTTCTGTATGGACACTGTAATATCAGCAAGGACTGTACACTGCTTTCCAAACAACAAACCCTGGATCACCAGTAACATCAAGACCCTCCTCAAGCAGAAAAAGGAGGCCTTCAGGGATGGAGACAGGGAGAAGCTCAGGTGTGAGCAACATGAGCTGAAGGGGAGATTAAAGCAGGTGGAGGAGGACTACAAAAACAAAGTAGAGAGGAAGCTGCAGCACAACAACACCAGAGAGGTGTGGAAGGGGATGAGGACCATCACTGGCTATAAAGAGAAGAACAGCCAGGCAACATCAGGTGATGTGGACAAGGCCAATGAGTTGACACAGCCTCACCTGTTCTCCCCCCCCACTGCTTCAGCTGCAGCTTTTCCTGCAGCGGCATCTCCTTCACAACCTGACACTGTTAGCTTTCAAGCAAGATGCCCACATGCTCAGATGTGCTAACGATGCTAATGGGAGCATGTGCTTGCCACACCGAAGCCTCACTCTGCAGCTCACTCTGAGCTTCAAAACCGCTCTTCAGAAACCTGTGAGTGGCGCCACGGAGGCTGCGTCCATCTTTATTCGCAGTCTATGGTTTTACAAAGTCCACCATAGTGTATTTGTGGTAGTTTGATAGTTCTGCTAGAAGCTTTTCTGTTGGAACATGACTTTTCCTTGAGCTCCAGAAGCATGGGAAGTTTAGCATTAAACAGCTGTTTATCATATACTGCAAAGTTTAAACGCTCCCACAGTGAAAAGAGGACACTAACAGATGTTTTTCTATTTCCTTAAAAAATATATAACTAAATGGAAGCTAAAAATATTCCAAAATGCTCCCACGAGGCGCATAAAAACAAGATCAAAACCCTTTCATCTTTTTTAATTCTTTTACATAATGATGACAATGTTTATTAAGGTTTAAATGTTGATCCAGGTTATCTAAGAGTTGAATCTGTAACTGCTGGTGTTTGTGTTTGTTTTCGAGATTAGAGAAGTGTCTGTGACCTGGAGGTTCCCTGACTCAACATGGGACAAGTTGTTCCTGTTACTTTGGAAGAGCCAAACATGTTCGAGAAGTAGAGCTGATAAAACACAGACGATGTATGAGTATGTATGTTTTGTGAAGGCCAGAGGAGGAGGAGGGATCAGCAATATGAAAGTAAAACTAAAGTGGACGCTGCTCCCAGTGGGCTATAAAACACTGTTGCAGAGAGCCAGTGTCCTCACCTCCTTTGCCACTGTAGGTGTTGAAAGGACGAGCAGGCTCTGACTCAGCCAATCAGCTGCCAGCCACACTGAGACGAAGACACGACCTCGCCAGCTCAGCGACCAGACATGGCTCCGTGGGGTGATGCCAAACTCTTCTTCTGCATCCTCTTCATCACCTGCTGCTGCACAGGTGAGTTTGTTTTGTTTTTTTCCCCCAGGCATTGACCCAGGCTCATTCACCACCCACCCTTTTAACTTTAAGCTGAAAGTGAAATGAAAAAAGATAACAGGATGTTAGTAATCCACTTGGAACGGCTCCAAAAAAGAGAAGCAGCAGTTTACACAGGAAAAAAGAGGAAATTATTCAATGTGGCTGTATTTAAGGTTTAAACACAAATCTGTGCCCTTCACTTGACTTTAAATCTCAGCTTTACATCTTTGCATTTCAAATATACTTTGTCAAAGAGGCTGTGCCATTTATAATTGTGTGTGTCAGAGTTTTAAACTCTGTAGTCTGACTGCAGCAGTAGAAGAATTACAATGTGAAGAAATATCTTTTCCTCCTGAAATTAAGTATATAAAGTATATAAAATAAAGTGGATTAAGAGCTTTAATACTCAAATTTATGCAGCACTTAACAACAGGAAAATTAAACAATGCCAATGAATGAATTTGTTGTATCTGAATCTTACTTATCAGTGCAAACGAGCAGAGCAAACACACTGAGACTGTGGTGTGGGAGATTTCTCCCAGCAGGGCGTGCTGCTGGTTTTCCCCTCCGCTCGCACTATAAGTGGGTTCAAGGTTAACTCCTGGACTTCACAGAAACTGTGTCAAAAAAAACAAAAAACTAATGAGGCAACTTTTGTTATGTAAATGATGATGCAATGCTGTGCGTATGGGAGTGTGTAGTTGTGGTTTGTGTGTGTGTGTGTGTGTGTGTGTGTGTGTGTGTGTGTGTGTGTGTGTGTGTGTCCTGCACTTGTCACTCGAGAGAAACAAAGTTATTGCCTCTGGAGTAATAACTTTCCCTTCAGTGAGGCTCTTATTGATCTCGTCCATGAATTTCTGGAGCTAGTTACTGTTCTGCTTGAAAGATGAAAATGATTAAATTATTTATTATCAACCAGACTAATTGATTAATCAATTAATCAGTGCAGCTGTAAATATTTTTTTTTTTTTTGAGAGTATTGCAAGAATGCATTTCCAGTTGCCTTTCAGACATAATTTTTGTACTATTATGATATATTTTTACCTTAAAACTGTGCTTTTTTAGGCACTGTGCCATAATGCAGTGTATGCAGGTCCAGAGATGAAATCAGGTGTCTTGGCAGGAGGCCAAAATCCCTGAATAGAAGCTCCCAAAAAGATTTGAGTACAATTTGACTTTGTATCTTCTAAATTATAATAAAAAAGAAGTAAAAAATAATGAGTGAAGTATACAATGGTTTGCTACGGTTTTATCAAAAGGAAAAAGGCGTAGTTCTACAGTGAGCTCCACTTGGTCGCTTGTTTCACATGAGAAAATAAATTTCACGTAACCCAACACTTGTTTTTAAGTTTTAACCTTACGTTCTTATCTTACTATAAAATCTGAGAGCTTAAATGTTTGATGAGATGGAAACCTGATACCACCACACACACACACACACACACACACACACACACACACAGAGAGAAAGAGAGAGAGAGAGAGAGAGAAAGTGAGAAAGTGAGAGAGAGAGAGCAGCAGTATACATGTAATAACCTTATAAACAAAAGACTTTGTTCATTGAAATAAAACTAATGTTGAGCAGTAGATTTAAAGTGATCGCACTTTACTGTGCTTTTTTATGTGGTTTAAAGTGTGAGAGTTAGTTATGACTTTAATTGCACTGTATATAATTGCATAATTTTATGACCGTGACACTCTGAGGGCAGAAACTCTGCTTGTGAAAGTTTGTAATTTCCCTCTTAAGGAAGAACAGCTGTCGTCAGCTTACAACAAATTCCAGCGCTGACATGTGCCGCACAGGCAGAAACACTGAGTCACAACCGGCTCAAAACCATGACAAGGAAAAACGGGAGTCAACACGAGGAGTTAAAGCAAAGAGACAATCATTTATTTCTAACTAAAGTCAACTCCTCTTTGTGTTTTCAGTGACCCTGGCGCAGATCCCCTTAGATTGCTGCTTGAGTGTCAAAAACAAAAAGGTGGACAAACAAATCATCGTAGACTACCGCCAACAACTCAGAGGGATGGGCTGCTCTATTGATGCCACAGTGTAAGTTTTTTTTTTTTTAAGGATTCGGGATGTACAAACGGACCGCGAAAAATTATTTGCAAGTGATCACAGTGTCAGCCTGACCTGGATGATTCGGTCTTTTCTTGCAGGATGACGACCAGACGTGGCAAGAAACTGTGTGTGTTTCCTAACGCACCCTGGGTCCCAGAGGTGCTGAAGCATGTGGATCACCTGAAGAAAATATGCAAGGAAAATAACAAGGTACCTTAAACTCAATGCTAAAGTCTGACACTTTAAAAGGTCCCATATTTTCCTCTTCCCCTGTGTTTTATTTTGCAGTGTTGATCCATAACAAGATATATTTGTGGTTTTAAGAACCAAAAACCATCTGAATGTAGTTTTACATCTTCTGAGAGCAGTGACTGCTTCATTGTGACATCACAAAGTTCCAGAAGTCCTGACGGCTGGTTTTAAGGCTCAGTTTCTGAATACAGGCTGTGTGCATTTCTCAGTGGACTGAGGCTTTGACACTTTCACAGTATTAATATAGAAGCTAGACCGGATCTATAATCAAAGAAGACATGGACAGAGACCTTTATACAATATGGGACCTTTAAAATAAGAGCTTAAAAATTAATCTACAAGTGTATATTTGAATTTTGGACAGAGCCCGGCTAGCTGTTTCCCCCTCCTTCCAGTCTTGGTGCTAAGCTAAGCTATCCACCTCCATACTTAACATGAGAGTGGTTTCAAGCTTATTTCAAAGCAGCAAATATTTCCCAAAATGTCAAACTGTTCCTTTAAACATTCATGGTGAGATCTGAAAGTCTGACATCGTCTTACCTACCGCAACCACAAAAATATACAACAACGACGAGAAACCAGAATCAGTTTGTAACAAATGAAAAAAAAAAAAGTAAAAGTAAGTTTCCTAGTCTGTTTCAAGCGTCATTTAGTTTTGAGTGTCTTGCATTTGACTGTGAAACCGCAAACGCTGCCATCGGCTTTGAGTCATGAAGTTGTACAGACGTCAAAGCATGAAGAGGTGGTGGTATAAAGCTATGACTCACATTCACTCCTCACCTGCAACAGCACACTAGGCACACATATTCAATATACATATATTTTTGCAATATTTTAATGCCTGAAAGACAAATTCATCTTTTGCATTTGACTTGGAATAAAAAAGATATTTCTTCAAACAAATATCAGATTTTTCACTGTGAAAAAGGTTGCGTGTTCATTTTCAATCATCTCTACATGAGTCGTCATCGGCGGTTTATGAAAAAGACAACATCAAGATCAGAGCGTTTAAGCCTTTACCTTAATATTTAGTGTTTCTAAATTTACACTGAGCTAATGACCCACAATCCAGTTCATCTTTACTCTATCCCACTCCTTGAGCCATGTGCTTTTATTTTGAAGAGCACAAGGATCGTTCTTTTCTGGCCTTTTACTGAAAAGCAGCTGCTTAGGTTTCTTGTAAAATTAAACCTGGTATCAACACTGTGTATCACAAATCTCTCATCACTTTGGGGCAGGAACTGCAGTTTGAGGCACTGATTAATTTACTGGCTTCTGATTTTTTAATATTTGTGTTTCTACAGATGAAACGCTGCCATGGAGTGAAGCCTGAGTAAACTGGGAACCAGCCTTTAACCCACCTCAGCTACAGCAACAACAACAACAACAACAACAACAATGGGCTGTTGCAAGGAGGAGACTGATTGAAGCAAACCAATAATAATTCAACAAATCAAGATAATTACAGGGTTTCTATATTTAAAGAGCAATTTCTCTTTTCTACTTTTGTGTTTGATGAAATTAAAGAAAATAAAAACAACTTGAAGGATTTAATGTATTTTTTATAGAGTTTGTAGTTTAGAAGATTGTGAAAAAAATTTAAATGTGAATGTGTAGCTCACTGAGCCCACACCTGGTTTATTGGTTGCATGAATTTCTTTGATTGTTGAGCTACTTCAGAATAAAACATGTTTTTATTTTCCAAATCCTGATAGTGTGTGCCTTTCTTTGCTGATGACACTCTTCTCTCTGTTCAACCTTACCTCTGTAAGGAGTGAAAATGAGTAAATGTTTGTTTTTCTTTGTGTTTTCTTTGAGCCCCACCAGGGCTGCATAAACATGCTTGGTATCATTTTTAATTTATAGGGCTTTTATTGGGTTTTTTGCTTTACAATGTCAAATTATAAGTAATTCAGAGCGTTTAAGTGATCATAACATGATATGTATTGGACAAATATTTCTGTCCTGCAGCCATGTTAGAGATTTGACAACCAGGAATCTAAAATACTGAGCATCATGGTCTTTGCCTCTTTCCTCTACTTTTTCTGGTTCTTATATTTAAATCATCTACTTTCACACTATCTTATTTGGGAAATGTTTCATGCATTAGGTTCAGGCTTGTGCACATGAGTCATAAAAGGACCTGAGATCAGTTTATTCAGAAGAGGACAATAACATTTGTTACTACTGGCAAACAACTGCTCCTAACACGCCTGCTGTGCACACGCCTTGAACGAGAACTGGGAAAAGTCAATTACATTTTTTGGTGTGTGCAGTTTGGTCATAGTATTAGTATTTAGTATTTAATTAGAGAAACAGGCTTAATTCACAAAGCCATACGGGCAACGGCACCATGAGGTTGACATCAGTGGTTTTGAGTGAAATATCAACACAATTGGATTAATCGTCATAAAATATGGTACAAAAGATGTTCTTACATAAATTAGCCCCCATTTTAATTGACATGTTTGATGAATCATTTGAATCTCTTAAATTGCCCCAGACCCTCACTCAAGCCTCAATCTCCCTCATCTTAAAGGAAAAGCCAGGAATGGCTCAGAACAGAGGGTCTCGCTATATGCGGACGACCTCCTTCTGTATGTCTCAATCTTACCGGCATCCGTCCCTGCTGCACTTGTTCAGTTTTATATCAAGATATAAACTTAACCTAAGTAAAAGTGAGCTGTTTCCTCTAAATACAATTGCACATAAATATCCTCTACATAATTTTCTGTTTAAAACATCACGGCACAGTTTTACATATCTTTGCTCTTTAAGACCAATTTCACTCCCTGTTTGGATCATATGCAACAAAATTTTGAATGCTGGTCAATGCTCCCACTAAATTTAGCTGTGAGGATTAATTGCATTAAAATAAAAGTTCTCCCACTTATTCCAGTGTGTCCCTATTTTCCTTCCTCAAGCGTTTTTTCAGAAAATTGATAGCCTGGTTTTGGAGTTTATTTGGAACAAAAAAACCCCAAGACTGCGTAAGGTCTTCTTACAGAGACCTAAGCCTCTTGGAGGAATGGCCTTACCAAACCTAAGGTTTTACTACTGGACTACTAACCTTAGAATTCTATAATATTGGCTAAGACCACTTCCTGCTTGGTTGGCTATGGAGTCGTGGGTTAATTCAATGTAAAGTTGTTCACCGCACTCATTGGACCAAAGTTAGGCTCTCCAAAATTTATGACAATGTTGACACCTCCTGTGAAAAATGTCATCAAACACCTGCAAACCATGTGCATATGTTCTGGTCGAGTATATCTCTGCATAACTGCTGGACTGCAATTTTTGATACTTTGTCGGAGATAACTGGGACATGTACAGAACCTAATCCCATCACTGCTCTCTTTGGCATCTCTCAGTTGCCTTTAGCTAAATTCCAGGTAGATTATATAGTTTTTGCAACTTTGTTGGCTAGACACCTCATAATAATGAGGTGGAAGTCACCAATACCACCTTCCTTGAAAAAAATCCAATACACATTGAAGGGTTCTTCCAACAAATTAAAAAAGCTGTGGGGGCCTTTCTTTGCCTATGCAAAGAAAACTGTTTTCCCAGTTATCCACGAATAAGATCCCACTCTCTTATTAATTTATAATTCTTTTTTATTTATGCCTTTTCCTTTTCTTTTCTTTTTTCCACTCTGAGGATGAGGTTACCATGCTTACGGTAAAATGTAAGATATGACCAAGCAGACTGTATGTTTGTTTGTTTGGTAGATATGTACTGTATTTTTTTCTACTGTGTGGTTACCAAATGGCACTGTCACTTACAAGTGATTTGACAGTATTTTTCAATTTGTGTTCAAAACACCAATGAACAAAGTTCATAAAAAAAAAACATGAGAATTTTTAAATTGCCCACTACCTTAATGATCAGCTACCTGCCTGATCACCTGCTGTTCTTTGTGTTTAGTGCTAATTAGCAAATGTTAGCACACTAATACACTAAATTAAGATGGTGAAGACGGTGCATCATGAGCATGTTAGCATGCACACGCTAGCATTTAGCACAAAGCACAGGGTTTCCTCGCCCTCACTCACAATTAAATGCATCACAGAATTTTTTTTTACAGTAGCTAATATACAACCTGCAGTTTTTGCTGTAGCTAGCTTTTTACTTTGGACACCTGCTACCTTTCTATGATGAATGAATGAATATATTAATTTAGGTCTATGTTTATGTCAATTTAAATGCCAATTTCATGAAATCTTGCATAGGTTTATGGAATAACAGATTTTGGCCTTACTCTTATTTATGCTGGAGACGTTCCAAGATCCAGTTTTTCTGAACTTTTGTGGCTGGGGAAACACTGCTGAGTTGACATCTTTTGTTTGCACAATTCTCGTTTCACAGTAACTTAAAACCTTTTCAACCTCAAGTACATGAGATTAATCGTGCTTCTCTTTTGTGGGGTTTTTTTGTATACACAACATGCACACAAAGACAATAATACATGGATTGTGAAATTGATTTGGTGCAGAATGTACTGTACTGCTGAGGCTTCAGCAGAAAGGCAGGTAGGAGGTAAATGCGTTGCTCAAGTCAACAGTGCAGGACTTGATGATTGAGACACTGATTTCTTGAACCTTGAGGTGATTTCCCCAGGTAATCTTTAATCATGTAATGTAAAAGGTGTGTTATCCATTCACCTTTTAATCCTCTGGCACACTTCCTGCTCAAATTGCAAGTTATGTTTGGCAGCAGCACTTGTGCACAGTAAAAGTGCCAAGATGAATGTCCAAAATCCATGTTTATTTTATATTTCAAGCTCACACGACAGATAGTAGTTCCATAAAATAAGAGGAAATTACTGAGATGGAAACATACCCAAGGTGTGAGGGACTTCTTGTGAAAGCATTCAAACAAGTACACTGTTTGTGATTCATCTCCTTGATGTCAGCAAGATACATTTATGGAGGTTCAAATATACAAAAGTCATTGTAGTAACTTCCCCATGTTGCAAAATCCATCACCTTTTGAATTTCCATTGAAAATCTGTTTTCACTGTTTAGGGGATTTTAATGTGGTTTCTTGTGATGAAAACATGGAACTGTGACGTGAATAGAATCCGCAGAAACGTACATATGTCTGCATGAAAGATGAGTCATAGAAATATTATCTGAAATATCTTGCAGCTCTTGCAAAAAACAACTTTGTTGTTGTCCAAGACATCCGAACAATCAAGTGGTTGATCATCTGTAAGACTGTAAAATTCAACTTGCATTTTCATAAAAAAAAAATATATATATATATTTAAAAACAGTTTTAAATGTATTTGAATTGAAACAAACTACAGTTTAAATAGATTTTCAGTGTATTTATGGTCAAATAAAGTAATTAAAATTAGCCCCATCCTTACCAGCCGCAACATTAAAGTGATGTACACAGTAATGCATCAGTAATTACAATCCAATAACAATATACATTGATAGCACTTTAATTTCCAGTTCGCTAATGTCATGGTAGTAGTGGGGTAAGAGTTTGATAATAAAGAGGTAATAATTAAGTTATACCATGCAATCACCAAAGTAATGACCATGTAATAGCTTGGTATTAACAATGGGTAGATCTGGGTAATATTTACAGGTTGACAAGGAGCCATAAAACAATGGGCAAACACATTTAAAAATAGCAATGAGGCTAAAGTATGTAGTAATAGTATGGTAATATTTTGGTGACAATGTGGTAACCTGCTAACAATGACATGGTTATAGTGCAATATTTGGATAAAAATGGTAATATGGTGACATATTAATGTGGCAAATAACCCAAAACAAATGAGGTAATATAAGTTGATGTTTTCACAGTATTACAGGCTGGTGCAATACCTTCTACAAAACCACATGAAAAATATTATAAAAAAATATTGGATGTAGTTGACTTGGAAGCCTACATTGGCTTACTCATTTTGGCAGGAGTTTACAGATCAAAAGGTGAAGCAACAGCAAGCCTTTGGAACGCTGAGACTGGAAGGGCAATATTTCCAGCCACTATGTCTCTGAAGACTTTCCAAGTTTTGTCCCGTGTCATACGCTTTGATGACAAACAAACAAGGCAGGGCCGACCAACATCAATTAATATTGTTCATTCTGTGAGAGTCATGAATGTGCACCCCAAATTAGAAAAGATTTGGGTGAAAGATTTTCAAGATACACTAACTCTAAAACTGAAAGTTTGACCTGATGGTGGCGCTACAGGGAAGGTCATATCATCACCAAAACCAACAGGGTTCATACTCTTGTGGTCATTAATGTTGTCAGTAAATTTGAGAGGATTTGTATGAAAACTTTTCAAGATATATTAATTCTAATTTAAAAGTTTGGCCTGATGGGTTTCATGATCAAGGGGTTATTTATGTATTCAACAAATAAACAAAGTGCCTGACACAAAAACTTGGTCAACAATTTTCTGTAAATCATTTTCTGGAGGCAAATATCCCTGGGGTCAGATTGACCCCAAGGGTAAAATGTGTTAGTAATATTTGAGGATAATACGAGGGTTAAAAACGTTTAAAAAAAAAATTAAAAA